GGGTGTGCTTACCATGTGCCAGCATGTGTGCAGTTATGACATGATGCACCTGAGCGGGTGTGCTTACCATGTGCCGGCATGTGTGCAGTTATGACATGATGCACCTGAGCGGGTGTGCTTACCATGTGCCAGCATGTGTGCAGTTATGACATGATGCACTTGAGCGGGTGTGCTTACCATGTGCCGGCATGTGTGCATTTACGACATGATGCACTTGAGCGGGTGTGCTTACCATGTGCCGGCATGTGTGCATTTATGACATGATGCACTTGAGCGGGTGTGCTTACCATGTGCCGGCATGTGTGCAGTTATGACATGATGCACTTGAGCGGGTGTGCTTACCATGTGCCAGCATGTGTGCCATGACTTGATGCACCTGAGCAGTGTGCTTACCATGTGCCGGCATGTGTGCAGTATGACATGATGCACTTGAGCGGGTGTGCTTACCATGTGCCTGCATGAGTGCAGTTATGACATGATGCACTTGAGCGGGTGTGCTTACCATGTGCCTGCATGTGTGCAGTTATGACATGATGCACTTGAGCGGGTGTGCTTATCACATGAAGGAAAACATGACGAACCCCTGCGGAGAGGCGGTCTTTCGGGCACAATGCGTGCCTCTTGACGTCACCAAAACCTGACCCGTTGAATCCCTGAGGAAAACCAGCATTTGGAGCACGTTGCGCGCTCATTACAGGGGGATTTCCTGCGTTCGGCGCGCGCGCCAACAGCAGGACGGAGGGAACAACAACAACAACAACAACAACAACAACAACAACAACAACAACAACAACAACAACAACAACAACAACACGACCACGACAACGACGACGACGACAACACGACAACAACAGCAACAGCAACAGCAACAGCAACAGCAACAGCAACAGCAACAGCAACAGCAACAGCAACAGCAACAGCAACAGCAACAGCAACAGCAACAGCAACAGCAACATCAACAACAACAACAACAACAACAACAACAACAACCACAAGGACAAGGACAAGGACAAGGACAAGGACGAGGACGAGGACGAGGACGAGGACGAGGACGAGGACGAGGACGAGGACGAGGACAACAACCACAACGACAACGACAACGACAACGACAACCACAACCACAACAACAACAACAACAACAACAACAAGAACAACAACAACAACAACAACAACAACAACAACAACAACAACAACAACAACAACAACAACAACAACAACAACAACAACACAACAACAACAACAACAACAACAACAACAACAACAACAACAACAACAACAACAACAACAACAACAACAACAACAACAACAACAACAACAACAACAACAACAACAACAACAGCAGCTCCCGTCTTCGAGCTCCGGCTTTGCCTGTGTCAAGCATGTGCTGCTGCAGGAGTGCGAAGCACTCCCACCACTCCTGGCAAGACCCAGAGCTCCAGCTGGACAAAAAGCGCACTGAACTCGTGACAAACTCAAGTCCCTTCCTTGGTGAAGGGGGCCCTTTTCCTGGGGACAATTCAAAGCCTGATGGCAATACATTCTTAGGACACATTGATGGATAAGCTGAAGGGTTCCCAATTGTTCTCTTTCCATGGCTACTCAGGACCCTCCTACTACAACTGCATCACCCTCACGCTGCTCCCAAATCACAAAACTTCAAGCAAGCAAACAAGTGTGCGCAAAGCCGCATTTTGTCTAAACTTGCATAATGTTTGAGACCGTCTAGTTTGGATCCTTTTGACGTATGCAGCTAGCAAAGCCCGTCAATGAACCGGAATCCATGATATCAACCCCTGGTTGACTTGAGGAGTGTCCCATTCTTCACAAAATCCTTCAGCTTTGAGGGGGGGATTCATCCCAGCTTGCTGAATTAGCCCATGGCTTTCCACCAGGACCCAAACCCCCCTCAAAAGTGATCGTCATATCCTCAAAATGCCGGCTCGTTTGACAAATCCCCACTCACCCACTCACCCCCACCACCCCCCCGCAAAATAAATAAATAAAGAAAAACAAAAATCAAAACAACAACAAAAACAAACAACCCCCCCCCCCCCCGCCTCCCCCCCCCCGACCCTCCCTCTGCAAAACCCCCCCCCCCCACCCAAAGCTCCCCCTTCCCCCACCCCAAAGCTCCGAGCCCTCCTGGTTTGTCCGGGTTCCAAGTCTGGGGGATCCGCCACGCCTCCTCCGAGCTCCAGGTGCCCTGCGCGAGGCGCCCCAGCTCCAAGGACACCTGGCCCACCCTCCGCCGCTCGCCCTGCAGCCGCCCCGACTCCTGGCACGTGCGCGGCGCCCAGGTCCCCCCAAGCGTTTTTGAGGTTCCCTAAGGATCTGAGGTTGGTAAAATGTGGACCCACCAAAAAACCAACCCTCTTTTTTTCCAGAATCGGTCACCCTGAGCATGCGCTTTTTTGAGTGAATATGGCGATTCTTTCAGGAAACACATTCTGTTTTGCATTTCTTTGGAAAAGTGTGAAACACCTCCAGAAAACCCCCCCCCAAAAAAAAAGAGAGTATGTCAGCTGTCCCGACTTGGGGGCGGGGGGGGGGGGGTCTTGTGTGTGTGTGTGTGTGTGTGTGTGTGTGTTTTTTTTTTGTGGGGGTCTTGTGTTTTTGTTGCATCTCTTTGGAAAAGTGTGAAAAACCTGGAGAAGACCAGCAAACAAACACACAAAAAGGACTCTATCAGCTGTCCTGACTTGGGTGTGGAATATGATTTGCTTTGGTTGTCTCGAGTTGTTTTTGTACTGTACCGTTTCCAGCCTGTTTGCAAGAGCTTCTGTGGTCAAGTGCGCTGGTGTAGTTCACCTCCAAGCCCGAATACAGTAAGATAGAGATGGTTTCCTCTGGTTGCACTTGTTCCGTACTACATTATTCTTATGTTTAGTTAGATTTATACAAGTAGAACTTGATATATATATATATATTAGACACATGTTGTTTACAGGTCTGTTGATTTGCAAAGACAATTCTATTGGAAAGGAGATCCTGTGTAGCATTTATTTTGAAATAGAATACTCTTTCTTAAATTTATACGTTCAACTGAAAAATATGTGTGGATTACTTTCCTTATTAAAAATTGTTTAGTCTGAGATAGATATTAAGTAGAACTTGAGACATATATCAAGCAGCATTCATAAGGAAAGAAACTAGAGGTCCCAAAAATGTTCAATGCATCTTGTTTAGATGCTTACTGATTTTCAACGGCAATTCTATTGGAAAGGCACTCTCGTGTAGCATTTATTTTGAAATAGAATAATCATAATGTGCAAATATAATTTACAATGGAAAACAATAATTGGAGTCTTCCCTTAAAAAAAACAATGTTATTTCAGTCATGATTTCTACTTTATTTCTATTACTAAATTTGTGTTTATGTTACTTTTGTGTCGATGTTATTTCTACTTTGTGTCTATTTAGCTCAGTTACATTCCCAACAGAAAATTACAATTAAGTCAGAGTTGAAACATAATTTGATAAGGAATGAATCCAAACACCACTTCTATGCTATAATAGAATTCAATTTAGAATGATTCTGATTAACATGATAATTTACACAGCATGTTCTGGCCAATTGAATTTCTTTGCACTTCATCTAAGATTTACACACACACACACACACATAGTTCAACTTGAGTTTGCACTCAAAACGTTGAAACAGCGCATGCTCGCAGCGTCCCGCTCTCCTTTTTTCAAAGGGGGGAGTGGTTGTTGGATTTTTGGGGGGCCCTCCAAAGTGATCTGATTCCAACCACTAAACTCAGGGACACCCCCTATTAATAAACTGGGGGTGATTAAATAAACTGGGCTTATTGATATGGGATCAACATTGTCAGGACAACCCGGGGTAAGGGCTATGTCTCTTCAGCCTTCTTGGATGGACTTGGAAGGACATTCAAAGGACACCCATTGTTTGCAGGAGCTCCTCAGATTCGGTCTATTTGTGGCGCCCCCCTTTTGGCCGCTTTCACAGGGCAACCATCTCCAGGACCACCCAGACTCCAGACCAACGCATGAGATCATCAATGCACATGTTAGTTTTCCACTAAAAATAGGTATCTTGCCACACTTGGCAGAAGTATCGGATTTCTGCAAGGCCTGTTTTTGGATCTCTTGCACCGATCCAAAAACGCCATGTCTGTCAATAGGTCCTCCACGGCGTCTTTGGCCCTCTGCGTGGCGCTCTCCAAATCCTGACCGGGCATCCAATGGCCACCAAAAACGGGGGAACCAGGGTTGCAAAATACCCTCTCCTTCACTAAAAAACCAGTCCCCCCCCCTCTGTTATACTATTTTAAGGAGAGGGTGTGGTTTTAAGCAGAAAGCGGTCCAACCACACGACAACCAGGCCTTAAAAAAGAACCAAAGGGTTGGTCCACGCCTGGGTCGCCCTGAAGGGTGTGGGTACCTTCCCCTTTGGGGCATTTCGGGAGTCGTTACTCATAAACCCAGCTTGTCCGACCTAATTGGGGAGCGTATACTCTGTTGCCACGTTTGGTGCCACCCAAACAAACGTGACATTTTGTTCATTCATGACCCACTTCCCGTGAACACCTAAAGGTAAAATGCAAAAAACAACAACACCCTTCGTAAATGGCGGTCAGCGCTCCCACCGCTTATAACAACCTTCTGGACATCTGATTCGATCACAAAAGCATCCCAAACCTAAGTGTCCTTTCGGAAAATAGATGGCACTCCGCAAATGATTCAGAAATTGAGAAAAGCGAAATCCGTCTATTTCAGCCAACCGACAGAAAGAACACCTAATCTGGGTACCTTGATCATAACTTCAGGAACGGAGCATTTTCGGTGTGCACCACTGACCACCTGCAAACCTCCAACCCACCCGAAAACGGCCTGAGGTGGCAATTTGGCCCGGATCCCAGAAACCTCGCCGGCAAAGGTCCTTCTGCATGTCAGCCACTTCCGCTTCAGTCTCATTGAAGGCTGCCTGGACAAGCGGAGGCTTTGGGTAAAAATGACTCTCTGAAGGGGGTCCCATTCTGGATCCGGATCACTTTCGGGGCCCCGAATTAAATCTCTAGGAAGCTCGGCAGCCTCAGACACGTCCAACCTGTTCCTTCAAAACACGGCACACGATGGTACTGCCACGAAAGTGCCCACCGGGTTCACAAGCTCGCGCAATTCATGCACTGAATATACGATGATATCAGCTCTTTCGTCATTTCGAAGGTTCAAACCGCCTGTGAAAGCGAACTGTTAAGAGTGTCACTTTGACTGGCCGCATAATTCCCCACTCTCAAAGCCACCAACCAAATGGGTAGAGCAAAGCAAAACCAGCTGCAGTGTCTGACTCTGAGATACTTGGACATAGCCAACAAAATGGTCTCAGTTTCATGGGCAGCTTTCTGGGACCGTGCTTTCTGCCTTTCCAGGGGTTGCCGCAAGCTTTTGGGAAGAATATTCTGCAAATACAATAATGGGATCCGCAAGTAAAGGACGTGTTTATGATGCTGAGCTCGTTTTAGTCCCACATATAGTGTAGTAGTAGTAGGGAGATTAGACTCAAGTCTAATCTCCTTGGTGAGCCTGCTATGGAACAGGCAAACATTGGTGCCTAGTACCGAATCTGCCACAGTCTGCTAAAGGGTCTGGTCATCATTTGAAGGCTCGGAGCAACCCTTGTCCCAGACCCGGTTTACCGGGATATCATATTTCCTTGTTGCTGACCAACATGTTCTACCAACTTGGGGTCTATATAAGCATCCTTTTGGTGGGCAAACACAACATCGAAACTGTTCACTTTACCACCACCATGTTCTTCCCAAAACGTCGACACCAACTAACAAGTCGATGGCACCCTTCCCCTTATCTGCGTAAAGGGTATGGTTTTTTCCCCGTGCCATCCACTTCCAGCGCCCGGGAGAGCGCGTCCGGCCGTCGCCCGGCTGGCGACTTCATTGGCCGCAAAGGCGTCGGAGCGGGCAGCTGCGCCCGCCTGGTCCTGCGGCGCGGAACGCTGAGACGCGCCGAAGCATGCAGAGGCCGGGATGGCCGCTATAAATATGGTTTTTCTCACTTCCTGAGTGGATTGGCCGAAAAAGGCGATTTCCCACTAAAATGGTCTTTCCGAGAAGTAGAAAAGTCCAGAAACTCGGGGAGTGAGAATTTCTTGACCCTGGTTCCGCCTTGTGCCGAAGGGCCCCTCATTCTGACAACCCCGTAAGGTAACTACACAGCCCCATCCAAAACCGTGCCAAGAATTGAAAGGACGTCCGCGCCTGTTTGTGGTTGGGACTGGCCCTCACTGCCCTGCATCACCCTGGGTCAGGGTCACAATAAGAACCTGGGATTTAACTGGTCTGCCCAAATCCATGTAAAACAAAAACTGAAGGGCGGATATTCGCACCTGGTCAAAACATCACAGCCATATGCGCCATGGCCAAACTTCTTTATGTGGGCTATGGTGATGGCTGATTTGATAGGAACCCTTGCGATGGTGGTTGCAAAACAACTATTAAGGCTTCAAACACCCGACAACACCGGAAACCGACAGGGGCCTTGACTGGAACTCTACGAAACATCTGTGATACAAAGCGGGATGCCATCTCTGCCTACTTCACCTAGATGAATGCCCTACAGAAAGCAGGCCTTCAGCATGGGTTTGCGTTCATTCCCTGCAAGAACCATTGCCCCAGGTGCATTCATTTCCTGCAAGAACCATTTCCTCCGTTGCTAAGGAAATGGGGTGGAGTTTGGGGTGCCGTCCATAGACGGTTTGGTGCACAGGCCTCTTTTCCAACAGGAAATGTGTCTTCCAGCTGGGTGGGTCTGCACTTCCATATCGGTAGGTGAGAGATGGCAAATCTTTAACCGACAACACACAAAACCTGGATGACACTGGCTCGATTCTTATCTGAGAGCAGCTGTCCTCACCATGCTTTCCAAGTTGTGGGTGTTGCTCAACGCTTTCCTGTCCACAAACTTGTGGACCATGCCAGCGGCCTCAGTCCTTCACCGTGGGTTTAAGAAAGGAAGCTTGTTGCAGGGTTTGCCTACCTTCATTTCGGCTGAAGGAGTGTGTTTTCTTGTTGGTACCCCTTCTTCTGCAAAAGGAATGCAAAAGGCAAACCAGACGGGTACCCAAGCACCCACTCGTTTTCTATACTCGGGGTTTCAGTGAAAAAGGATCTGCAAATAAATAAACACAGTGCTTCAAGTCACACTACTAGGCAATAATATGTTTACCAGGCTTTCCATGATGGCTGTTCTTGGTTATTGGTTACCAACCATTGTTTCCTTTGGTCACGGGCACTCAACAAATGGAACCTTGCCTGTGACAGCTGGAAGCACTGAGAAGGATGGCTTCCGATCGCTTGAACCCCCAACCCCCCCTCCCCCCCGGCCGCCGCCTGTTTCCGAAGCTCTGCCTCAGCCGCTAAGAGCCCGTCCTGGCGATTTGCGGCTGAGGCCGGCCTTCATGGTGCCCCAAAATGGCCCAACCTGGGACGTACCTACCAAAAGTGGGCCATCCCAATTCATATGCCAAAGCGGACCAGGCTTGCAAAACACCAGAAACCACACACCTTACTCTCAACCAGCCCTTCTAAGTTCCAGGGCTTGTGCAATTTATCAGCCGGCCATACACAATTTCCCACAAACATGTAGCCCAAAGAAAGGCACTGGACACCTTCTTGGGCTTGATCTTTCTGCTGGCGAGCTGACCAAGCAATGGAATGGAGAAAGAGTGCCACTGACTTCCAATGGTCCCACCTTCGCCTTGCCCCCCAAACCAAACGATTTGTTTGAGTCTGGCCCGTATGTAGTGAGAGGATGGAAAAAAGGTTCTTTCACTGTCGCGACGTCAAGCAAGCGTTTGTAAGATGATCCGTCCGACTTCCGTGCAGCTTGTGGCCTCCTCGGCCGAGCCCCTGCTTGACTTGTGCTGGCCAAATTCCAAACCGTGCAGCGAATCTGAGGGGTCAAGACAAGTTGGGATCATCCCTAAGACGAATCTGCAACAGAAGGCTCTTTTCAACTCACTTGAACCAATGGAAACCAAAGGAGCCCAGGTTCATTTGCACTTTTCAAAGTACAGCCCTGCTCCAATTGTTTGGTTGGTTGGTTGGTTGGTTGGCTGGCTGGCTGGCTGGCTGGCTGGTTGGTTGGTTGGCGAGTGCATTGATGGGTTGCTTGGTGAGTGGGTTGGTGGGTGGGTTGCTTGCCTGCCTGCCTGCCTGCCTGCCTGCCTGCCTGCTTGCTTGCCTGCTTGGTGAGTGGATCGGTGGGTTGGTTGGTTGGTTGGTTGGTAGGTGGGTTAGTTGGTGGGTGGGTTAGTTGGTTGGTGGGGCAGTTGGGTTTCCAAGGTCTAGAAACAAAACTCCCCACCTTGCACTGCTGCTGCGCCATGTCCAGCTGGTTCTGGCCCTCCAGCAGCGCATCCCGGGCGATGGACAGTAGCCGCACCTGGCCATTCTCTGCAGCGACAGGACACGCTCCCGTCTTTGCACAAACCAGACAGGGGGGGTCTCCTCACTTCCCCAGTGGATGGCCCCAAAAAACAAAAACACCTTCTGCTTGCCACTAAAATGGTCCCCTGAAAATGGCCCAAGCCCAGGGAATAAACTCAGCGAGGCCCTCGGGGGGGTTCCTCAGCTTCCTGAACCATCGGCTGGGAATACGCGAGGTCCCGAAACTGGCGAAGCGCCGTGCGCCCGCGCCTGGTGCGGATGCAGCCTCATTCGAGAAATGCAATTCCCCCAGTAAAGCACGGCGACAAACGCGTGACAAAAGTCGGCCAGTGATGGCGTCCCTCTCCAAGAAGGCGACAAAATGGCAAACACAGTTGCAAATCGAAGATGAATTGATCTCAAATTGAAGTCGAGGACTTATGATCCAAGTGCTGCACCACAACTCAACACACACAACGCTAAGCGTGTTCATGCACCGAAGCATACCCTTTATAGGGGACAAACCTAGAGCCCACCCCCCCCAAAAGCCGTCCATAGAGCCTTCTTAGAAGAAGTTCTTAGAAGGGTTCTAAGAACCTTTCGGTGGGTAGGGGGCCCTAATTTTTCTCCCTACCTTTGGCAAGTTGCTCCGTGCCGTCCGCCATGGACACCGAGTGGTGCAAACTATCCTCGAGGCTGCGCACGCCGCACGCCGCGCTTGTTGACTTTACAGGGAGCCTCTCCAAACAGGGGAAGAAAGGGCGCCACTTGGCTGTGGCTCAAAATTCAAGAGCTAGGGTTACGCAGATTTTGGTCTTCGGTTCTATTTACCCAGGTGCCATTTTGGTACTTATTTTGAGCCACAGCCACTTGACAACTGGTTTTCAATTCCTGAACGCTGAGATCTTTGAGCCCCCACTCGAGGATGCTTTTCAGAATTAGACCTCTTCCGGCTTACCTTTTCACCTGCTAATTTCACTGCAGATCATAAAATCTAGGGTTCCCAACCAGTTCGGAGCAACACCAACCAGCTCCAACAGTTGCCCGCTTTCTTTTGTTTTGGCTTCCCTCTTGCAACACCTCCTGAACCTTGGCCCTAATTTTGGGCACACGCAAAATAACACTTCCAGATTCTGGTCCGGATTTAGATGACCCCAAAATCTAAATACACAAAACTAGGAGCACCGTTTCACCATGACATGGCACCCCCCAAACGAATTGCCAAAGAGTATGGTTGGTTCCCCAAACTTTCTCCCAACCTTTGCCCTGGAAACCACTGCAGAAGTTTAGCTCATGTCAATGGAGTCTAGGAGTTTTACTGTGCAGGAGTTTTATTTTCAGGTAAACCACCTCCAAGTAAGCCACTACGTAGAGTCTCCATGACCCTCCAAAAATCGGAACATGACCCCATTTTCTGTTGGGTCATACGTCCAATTCTTAAGGGTCATGGAGACTCTAGGTACGTAGCACCCACCAGAAGAAAAAAGAAAAACAACGCCTCCCCAACCCCCAGCCACCAAAACCGAGGCTCGATGAGCATCTGCCGCACCGGCATGGGCAAGTCCAGCCTCAGAAGCTCCTCCAAAGAATGCTTCGAACCGAACTCGTGGCCTTCTTGGTGGGCGGTTTTCCCAAAAACTGCCTTTACTCCCCCTCTATTGGTTGGTATTTCATGGGAAGCCAAAAGGACACCAATCACTCACCAATCAGTCTTGACCCCACTTTCCAAAAAATGGCGGTTTCCCAAGGTTTGGAAGAATGAAGGAGGTTGAGGGGGCTCCTTGTGAGTTCGGCCAAGTTGTGGGGGTTCCATCTCCCATGACACAAGCAACACCCATTCGGGGAGTTGAAATGATTTACCCCTTTGGGTTGGGATGTAATGGGAAGCCAAAAGGAAACCAATCAGTTTTGACCCCACTTTTGGTATGTAAAGGACAACTTCTATGGGTTTCATTAAAGGTCACTTCAAGTCATAGAGAGCAAAAGTCGGAGAACCACTTGCGCCGTTTGGTCCTCGGCGATTTTCTCGCATTCCTCCGAGCGCTGCGACTTCTTCAACACCTGTGACTCGAGCCCCGATCGATAGCCACAGGGCCTTGGGACTGGACAAAAATCCGCCGCGTTTGGTTTGCTCCAAAAGAACCATGAAACTAGAAACGGAATCAACCCCTAGGTCCTCCAGTAGAGAGGTTAGAAGAAGGGTACCCGATTTTTTTTCTGTGGTCTATTTTAGTAGGGGAACCCTCCCCCAAAAAGAGTAAAAGGGCACTCCTGGGGGACCTAGCTAATAGAAACAGAATCAACCCCTAGATTCATTCCAGCAAACTCCGAGAATTCCCAAGCAAGGCGAACAGCCAGTACCTTGGGTGAGCTCAAGCTATCCGGCATGAGTTGACTGGCCAAGAAAGGCTTGAACTTTTTGGGCTTTACAAAGTTTGCCAAACAGGCCATCCCAAAACGGAAGTCGCCGAGCGGCCCTTGTCGTGAAATAGACTTGACACCAAATGAAACGGAACCGAGTGCGACGGGAATGCCAGGAGTCCGTGACACCAAACAAGAATTCACTTGCCTCCGTTTGCTTAAGCCCCCTGAAAAAAATATAAATATGTGCAATAGTGATATATAGATTCCCTTTAAACCCAACCGGGGAAATTCTCAGATGCTCTTAAGCAAATGGAGGCTTGTGTGTTGCAGGATTGTGGGAAATTCCTAGCGAAAGCCACCGGAGCTGTAGTGAAGAACAGCAAGGCATGGTGACTGAAAGGTAGACGGTTTGGAGGATTTCCAGTCATAGAACGGGTTCATTCAAGTGACATTCTCACCATCACGGGTACCCTCTAAAACTGTGGTTTCAAGGGAAACTGGACAAATGTCATGTTCGGAACCTCTCAAAACATTCACTTTAAAGGACCCTCAATCTTGCCGCAAGAATAACATGCTCTTGAGTTGCGTTTCAGCTTGAAAGCTGCGATTCCGCTCCTACTCATTGACAAATGGCAGCCTCCCCCCTGTGGGATGGAGCGCCTCACGGTGCACCAAAAAGCTGATGCGCCGCCGGAACTTCCTGAAAGGCTGTGGTGTTTACCTCTCACCGAAGGAAGGGCAAAGGACGAGAGGACAAGGAAAGCACACCAACTTGCTGGTGCGATAGGTGGGGAATGAGAGAATGAACCCCGGGATCCCCTTAAGGAAAACATAGGGATGGTTTGTAGGGGTCATTCCCTCATTCGCTGCTGACCACCAGCAAACAAAAGAACAATCAACAATTCAACAATTTGGGGTTTGGGGATGTCTAAGAATGGAGAGACCCACAGGAACTCAATACTTTGTCGGTACAGCAATTGGATCAGGAAGAATGAGGGCAAAGGTGAGTACTGGCAATGGGGTTCCATAATATTGTGCATATATATATATGTATATATATATATAATACTTATATAATCACATATGTTGAGCTTGGATGGGAGGCAAACAACCCTGGAGGGTCAAAGGGGCAAGGGGGGGCTTCCCATATTGAAACCAAAGCCACGGCGATATGACCAAACCTCTCATGTCTCAAGTAATTTCATGGGAAATGGTGGCCAAATGGCAACCAAAGATGCTTGGCGCCGAGTTTCCAGGTTTTCCCAGACAGCTTGCACAGGCAAACATTTGACCTGTTGCCGGCAGCTTTTCTGTTCTCACCACTCCTTTTTTTCCAACAGCAGGAGTTTTGGTTGCCCGGGGCGCCGGACGTGTTGCGGGCAGTGCTGTTGGGGATACTGCTAGTTTATTCTGTTAAACACAAACACGAGCAACAAAGAAAAAATCGAGTTCCACAGTTCGGCTTTGGAGAAGTCACTGCCATGCCTTGAACAAGCATCACATCATGCCCAAAGAACTTCTCGGCGCGAGGCTCGTGCACACCAGCATCTGCACCCACACACCGAACCACCCCCAAATTTGCCAAAAGCAATCTGGGCGAGTAGAAAAAAACTTTGGGCAGCATCTGGGTTACCTGGGCAATTAATTTGGGTAAGCAATCAAGCAATCAGGCTATTTTCGTGCGATGCAAACCCTCCTCAGGCTATGAGTTGCTCAACAGTTGCACGAAGCTTCCGGGACTTGTGGCAGACTCTGGGCCTTGCATTTGCCAGCCAAAGGTGGCAACTTGTAAGATTTTCACAAACATGTGGGACAACCTGACCCCCATGAGCAAAACATGCCCCCGTTTTTAGACAACAAAACGGAGCTGAAAGGAACCGGCCAGTTCCCGTTTTTTTTGGCGCGACACAGGGTTCCCAACATGCCCACTGAAAAACATCACCCCACGCAACTCGATTTACATTGTGATTTTTGAAGCGCCGCAAAAGACAATAACAATACCCAGGAAACCCGATACACCCTTATCAAAGGTTCAATGTGTGAACCCATATATGAAGATGTGCCTGCGTGCATATTTTGTTTTGCTGTCATGATGTTCTTCGTGCTGCCAACAAGGAAGAGACAGACAGGGAAGGGCCTTCAAGGAATGATGAAGTGGCTTTCGGAAAACATGAACACAAGAATCATGTTTATAATTCCATCAGTAAAATTTCGATTGGGGAGACCCCGTTTTCCGCATATTATGATTTGTGTGTGCTTCAAGATGTATGCTCAGACAAACCATGAACAAAACTTGTGGCTTCCACTGCAGCTCTCATCTAAGCCTCAGCCAGACGTTACACTGGTGCCGTCGTCTCTTTCTATGCGTGGGCAATACATGTTCCTGTGTTCCGCTGTTGTACATAGCTCGCAACCATCAGAAAGGCGGAGGAGGGGGAGGGACAAACAACAACAAGAAATACGTTGCTTTATTTTCGTTTTTCGGCCCGCCCCTTTGCCCACAAAAGGCAAAGGAAACAGTAGGAACAGAAGCATCTGAACATCACAAATACCTATGGCATGGTTTGTCACATGGGTTGTGCGCTGGCGTGCCTTTTCAAATTCGATGTCAATAATTAGCTCACAGAGAAGTTTCTGGGCTGAAGCCCCAGTTCTGGTGGACGACGGTGTTCCGCGTCCCTGAGTGAGAAATCTTGATGAACCCCCCCATTATGTGGGAATGAGGGGCCTGAAGTTCCTGCCACCATCCCAACATGAAGGCTCAACCATGGCAAAGGCTGGTGGTCTGAGGGCCGAAAGCGGTGGAGGCAAGTCATCTTGAACAAAGTGGCAAAAGGTGTGGGCGAGGCTAGGAAAGCATAGGAAAGGTTGCGAAGAGCATTGGCAAATGCAAGGGCAAGCAAACGGCGACGGATGTAAAGGCTAGAATGAGGGCGCGCAAGCCAAGGAAGAGGCAGGAGGCAAGAAAGGGAAAAGGGCCAAACAAAGAAAAAAGTGTCCAAAGCACAAACAAGGCCAGTGTCAGCCTACAGCGTGTCCACAAAAGAACCACATGACATGAGACCTCTCATCGAAAACCAGACATCCGGTGGACGTCCGTGTCCGTGTATGCCTTTGCCGCTTAAAGCAATGTGTGCCTTTCCCGCTTGACGTGGGGCGTCAACCAGCCCGAAAACATTGTTTTTGATGTGGCCTTGTTCTAGCAACGCCTGAGTCATTTGTGTAGAGTAATGACCTCACATGTTGGGCATTAGTTGGTCGCTAAAAGCTTCTCCAATATAATTCAAGTCCTTTCTGTAAGAGCCTGATCTCTTTTCTCTTCATGCATTATCTTATTGTCAATTACTTTTGGTTTTATTGTTTCTCTTTCCTTTCCTATCATTTATCACCTTCTTTCTTGCACCTTTCACTCGCCCACAGGCTGTGTCTAGAGGTGGAGAAAGATGGCTATTCTCTTCGCTCATGCTTTTATTATTTACTATCATCTCCTTTTCATTTGTTGAGATTAGTTAAGAGAAAGAAGATTATAATATTTTGCGTCCCAGCATTTCCAACCTCATGGAAACTCAAGGAAATGCTTGTTTTTTCTGCAGGAAAACACAGATTTGAAGGAAAACCCGAGCCTCAGCGACATCCCGTGCTCCAGGATTGCTCAAATTTCTCTAACTTGGCCGGGTATTGGGGTTGAGGATTCAGCTCCCAGGCCAGCAATTCCAAAATAACCCATACGTGACACCCCCTCCCACTTCGCGTTGTGCGCGCTCGCGTGCCACACCTCATGGGAAGGAAGATTCTGTCATGCAGTAACCCTGTCATACAGACTGACAACGAAGCAACATGTTCAACGTCGTTCATTTCCTGCGGATTGCTTTACGTCTGGCTGCGCATGGCGCCAACCATCTTACAACATCTGCATCAAACGCAACGCCCGCGCGCTTCTCATCAGCAAGTGAACCATCTTTGGGGCTCTGCATGCACCAGGAAAGCGAAGGACAGCAAGCGCAAGCGCGCCCGGTTCGAGGACTAGAGCCATTGGTACGAACAAAATGGAACAGACATCTTGAGCAAACCATACGCTTTGTAACAACTGCTTTGCGCAAGCGCAACATCCCAGAATAGTGGTGGGCGACAAACGTGCGCACGCCAAGTCCACCTTTTCAACTTCGGCGATGAACCGTCTACGTGGATCAGGCGGGTACGTAGTTGCGCAAAACATGACAAGACATGTTTCTCTTCAAATTCGCCGGGTAACCCTAATCAGTACATTCATTTCGATAGACTTTACACTTGGAAAAGGTTGATGTGTTCCTTGCAAATATCTCTTAGTTTGATATGTTGACACAACCCCCTTGTGCCTGGCAGCTGGCAAAACAGCTTTTGCTCACACGGATTCCAGCTGTCCAAGCAGTCTGTGGCTAGTTTGCTTCGCATGCAACAGCCATGTTGCATGTGGGGGGCATGTCAAAGGTATGCTGTCTTGCCTAGGTCCTCCAGTAGAGAGGTTAGAATGAGGGTGCCCTTTTTTGTGTAGTCTATTTTAGTAGGGCAACCCTCCCCCAAAAAAGGGGTGAGAAAGCGGGGGACCTAGTTGCTTGTAGCTGAAGCTGCCCCACCTGAAGGCGCAAACAGGGGGAGTTCCAGGCGTAGTTTAAAGGACCTGCTGTTGGGACAGTTGGCGTCGAATTTGTTTTGCATTTTCAAGATGAGACATAGAGTTTGCATTCTTGTTTTGTTGCTTGTGGACAACACAATGTGCTTGGCGTTTCGCATTTGAGGATGGGACATAAGGGCTGCAGCTTCCTTTCTCAATGGTTGTTTGGGAAGCCATGTTTTGTTGCATTTTTGAAAGATTACTCGATTTTTGGAACTTTTGGTGTTGCTAAAACAAAAGCCCCATTCTGCTCCTTCTGTACATGAACCCTGGTATGAAACCCGTGTATTACCTAACTAACTTGTGATGCTGCATTCATTAAGGGAAACCAGACCCGAAGAGGGTCCCAAATGGTCATGGATTAACATGTGGAATTACACAACGAACCTTTGAAGAACTGGAAGAGCCTGCACACATGCGATGGTCCTGGCAGCCAATGTCCCAGCGGAAAGGCCAAGGTTGCCCTCCAGCCTCAGGCAATTTCATCGGGCTATGTGCACAATCAATTTGAGTGTCCTTTTTGTACCCAAAAAATTGGGCTTTGAAAACCGAAGCCAAAAAAAACGCAATTTTGCGGGGTCTTCAATTTAAGACACACCCATATAAAGTTTGGTGAGCGAATCTCTGTTCTTAATTTAGAGAGTGGCCCAATGTCATCTCCTTGCATTAGATGACGGGAGGGCATCCCTCTCTGGCCCTATACAACCCATACTTGGTATATGTACTGTACATATCTAAACACAGAGGGACCCAGCCCTTTCCCAGAAACTTGGGAACGAGCCTTGAGTGTCGCCAAGCCCCACACCTCACCAAGCCGTCTCTGAAGGTGAAAACATTCCCTCAAACCGTGCCATGATACGGCTTTGTCTCCGGAACCTCAAAAATGCGGCCATATGCTGAAGGTTTCTTTCTGTTTCTTTCGAGGCCGACAAACCACGGCCTCATAGGTATGCATGACTGCATCCATTTAAACACCGTCCTAAGCGGTATTTATTTGCTCCTCTAATTTGCCACATTCCCATTTTTAGCCTCAGCACCCTGTTCAGGTTGGTTTAAAAGAATCCAAAGCGACAGCAACGCGAAACATTGCTATAAGCCACTGCTTGGAAACCACCCTTCTCGGGGTTCCCTCAAAACTAATTATTTCTACAAAGCCAGGGAACAACTGGATGAGCCTCAAAATGAACGACTTGAGGTTGCGCAGGTTCTAGTCATTGGTGCCATTTGCCAAGGTGCAATTGTAGTACATCTTTTCGAGCCACTGCCAAATGGACCCAGCGCCAGGTTCTACGTGCTTCCATTTGGTTAAGGCCCCAGGAAGAAATAAAACTAATACATATATATATATATTTCTAGTAGTCATGAATTCCTGTTAAACCCAGCAGGGGAAAATCACAAAATATTCTAAGCAACTGGAGGCGTGGCTTCGGTGGCTTCGGCCCTTCCGCCTCCAGTCCGCCCTCCCGCCTGGCTCGGAGCTGGCCCACGGTGATGCCGGCCAGGTCGGCGCCCATCAGCAGGGATTGCACCTCAGATCCGACAGGTCTTGTGGCGAAGGCTTCCGACGTTCTGTGGCCGGTACCTGCAACCTCGCCCCCAAAAACCCGCCGAAAAACAAGGGCGCAGGTTTATGGGTGCTTCTACAGGCTTCAGCACACAAAAAGATCAAAGGGTTGCTTCCAATTCCATTCTTTTCAACCCTCGTTCTTTTCAAAAACCAGCCGTTTCCCTGGGTTTCCGGAAGGCTTTCTAGAAAGAAGGATCACTGGAAAGAATTGGGACAGCCCTAAGGCATAAGGATGCTACCTCCAAGCAGATCTTTCTGGGGTTGGTCCCTTTTGGTTTTTGGTTCTTTAAGGGTTGACTCGTGCTTTTTTTAAGGTTCCGCATACTGATTCAGAGCTAGAAGGAGCCATGGGACGGAAACAAGTCATTTGAACTGGACCCCCCTGAAGGGGTTGGTATCCATTTGGTTTCCCTTTGAACACAGATGCCACAACCCACGGAGGTGGCTTCCTAAACTTAGGGCTTCTAGAGTGAAACCAAGCTGAGGCCGCCATTTTGGGGGAAATCCGGGGCGACTTGGGGGGTCCCTCGTGTTGGGATTCTTTGAGACAAATGAAACACGATGTTTATTTGAGGAAAACTTATTTTTGTTGAGGGAATGAAGCATGCGAAGCTCGCCCATGCGCCTCCGCCATAAGGGCTTCATCGGGGATGTCGGCCTGACACGTGGAACGACTGCACAAAGGGGAAAACAAGCATTGGAGGAGTCCCGACAAACAAACAGACAGGAAGGCAGACAGGCAGGCAGGCATACAAACAAACAGGCAGACAGGACAGGCAGGGAGGCAGGCAGACGGACAGACAGACAGACGGGCAGGCAAGCGTGTAGGCAGGTAGACAGAGAACAAACAAACAGACAGCCTGGCCTGGATTCCTGGAATTCACACGCCTGCCCAGCTTCAATGCCTTCTGGAAAATAAAGTGGTGTGTTTTCTTCAAAATCCGTTCGGATTCACGTGCCATTTCACATGTTTAAGGCCTTGGAGAATGCGCCCGTCGAGTTTCCAGGCTGGCCATGAATGGAGCTTGTCAGCATAATCCCCTCGCGTACAATTTTCCCTGGCAGGGCCATGGCCCGGCAAGGAATCCCGCTGTCATCCCATGAATCGACAAAGGGATCAACGGTGTCAGCAAAGGCAGAGGGCAACAGGGCCAACCGTGAGGCGAAGCTGCTGGGATTGACCTCAACTGACGCAAACTAACATGGACCCCAAACCGGTTTAGAGGGATGTCCTCTGACCCCAGCGACTTAGAGGGCACAGATTTCCCTATATTTCCCATGTCCACATCCGAAGGGAATGGGCCCTTTCCCATGTCACACTGCTTGCAGCCTAAGCAAGTGTTTGGTACTGACTGCTTGCGCATGTGGTCTGAAACTTGGAAAGTCAAGGCATGTTGTTGAAAGGAAGCTAAACACAAGAGAAGAAGAGTACAAAGGCAGAGAAAGGATGCCACAGAGACACGAGTGCAATTTATGAGCGCCCCAACTATCTTGTTAAAAGCAAGAAAAATAAATCAACAAACAAGGAGAAGAGATCTAAAGGCATGTTCTCAGCGCGGAGAGCCATGATTAGAGAGGAATCAGATTGCAACCTGAGCGTGATGGAAAAAGCTGAAAGAGCAGCTGATCCAGGCACAACCTGGAGCAATGATATATTCTGATGGGGGAAATGAAAGGACATCCAGTCTAGGGGGGAGTGCTGAGCTCCTGAGCTTTTTGTCGGCCATATTTTTTTCTTTGGTGTTTGCCCGTGTTTGCCTTTTTTTGGAATCTTCCCCTCCAGCCGAGGTGAAAAAACAGATGAGACACCCGAACACGTCTGCAGTTCTGCTGAAACACGGTGCTAACTTTTTGCAAGACCCAGAACCCCCGTCCGCAATGTTAGATCACATTTTGCTAATCATAGGACATGAAGGAGCCACAAAAAAGGCCTTCCCTCATTTGGCCATGGGTCAAACTCCAAATCGTACCCCCAGTGAACATCCCAATCCCCACTAAAATAGACTAAAATGGGTCAAGATGCTAGAATTGGTTTTGACCCACAGCCATTTGACAGCCGTGCCAGTCCTGAACCTCCTCCTCACACTTCTGTATCTTGCATGGTGCCTGGCACAACTGGCGGTTTAAACCGCCCACTGCGCCACGCGAGCAAATCTGCGGCCAACATCGCGAAGATATCAAGGAATGCGGCAAACATCTGCAAGCGGCGTGCACATGTTTTCCTCCCAAGGTATGAGGGAAGGAGCCTGACAAGGGTCAAGTGACTAGAGCCACTGATTAACCCTGTTGGCCAGCACCATGCGCTTTTGTTGGGCAAGCGAACTTCGCGGGGGCCTTTGACAGCTCAAAGTCTGGTCTCGTAGCACGACAGCTGAGCAGCCCGGGTGCTGGAACGAAAGCCATACCTTGCGCTATCAAGACTGCTTGCGGACATGAATTTGATTGGGGGCTGTTGGGCGGACATCAATTAAAGCTGGATTTCTCGTTGTGAATTCGTGGCGAAACACTCGACACGTTCCATATAAGCCACGGTCAAAACTACCTCCGGCCTGTGCCCCATGCACCAGCTACTGGACGCTACGCCCCTCCCCGCTTCCAGAACATAATAATCTGGGGATTCACAGGCATAGGTATCCTCTTCAATTACTTTGATTGACGACTGTTTGGTTCGAATGCGCCATCTACCCAGTTGCGATTTTGATAGGAAAAGGAACCCTTTTTGTGGCTGATCATTTTTGGAGGGGATTAGAGCACTGGACTGGACAAGTTCATAGACCCAAGCCCATTACTTCAAACTCTGGGTACATCAAAAGCATCCGGTGTTGATTCATATTTCATAACTTAGGAGATCCCAGATCGAGTCAACATCCCACCCTGCCCGCGCCTCATCCCCAGTCGGCGCTGCCGCCTTGTTCTTCTCCGGCATCAGCCGCGGCCGGCTGATCGACTCGACCCGCGGGCCAGCCAAAGGAGGATTGAATTACTTGGGCCAGAGCAGCGCGCGCGCACTCTTCATGATGTGAGTACAACTTGGCGGCAATTAGCAGGGGATCGTGCAAACGGGGTGTTTCCCGGACAATTTCGGGCGGTTTTGATATCAGATGTTTATGTCTGTATATCGCAGCAAACCTCCTAACATTTCAACATGTCAGTGCGTCTGTCTGTTCTGGTTGACAAGTCCACGGCTATCTGCAGTGGATAATGTCAATACATCAGGCCTTTTCAAGGCTCTTAGCGCTTTAACGTTCGACCCTTGCCTGCAAGATTCACCTCAACAACATTTGTCTCACACCCCAAAAAACTATCTGCAAAAGAACCTTTCAACACAGAACCCTCCAAAAAAAACTCAGGAAGCCTCGGGACAAAATCCGTTCTTGGAAAAGACCTTCTGGGAAGCGACATTTAAAAATGGCAAATGAGAGTGAGTTTTTATAAGAACCATGTATGTGCATGTCTGTATGTATGTATATATATATATATACATATGTGCTACCGTGCCCCTCCAAAACCTACCTTTTCAACATGTCTTGCTTCTTAGGCAGATTCCTTTGTGACGTCAGCAGGCAGATCGAATCATTGCAGGGAGTTGAGGATGTTGGACAGTTTGTCCTTCTGTGAGCAGACAGATCGTCGTTGCAGATGGTTTCAGATATGGGCATAATGCAAGCGAGCAGACGCAGACCTTTTGCCCCATTGCTGGCCTGCATCTAGCGATTGCCCCATCCCTGGCCTACGTACACCTAAGAGGTGATCACAACAAAAGGCTTCATGAAGTGCTGAACCAATTGTCCAGCACACTTCCATGAACCCTTCATACTCGCGTTGGGCACTGCGGCTCTGTGGCGCACAGAAGCTTCGCGGACATTCAAGACAGGCGGTCCTTGATGAAACGCCAAATGTTGCGCGCCTGCCTTCATTTGCCTCTTGGGAGCTTGTGCGGCACTGTGCGTGCAAAGCTCGGCTTCACCCAACCCCAGTAACTGCACCATGAAGAACTCCATCGAAACGAAGCCTGTAGCTGCGGGCACAATCTTTGCGCAGCACAAACTCCTTGCCCTTCAGATGCTTCTCGGCTAGCGGGTTCCGTCTCCTTGCGTTGGCGGGTGCTTGCGGGAAACCACAAGGGATTGTGCAGGAACCTGGCGCCTGGCCAGTTTCCTTTTCTTGGCGGGGGGGCCCACAAGCGAAGCATTCGAAGGCACGCTTGCGCCGCACGGACGCACGCACGCACTCTCACTCACACACTGTAGATGCTGAAAGGCCGACACAGGCTCAGTTTGAAGCGGTTGCGCTTGGCTACCCTAATCCTGCGCTTGGGGCCAGGCTGAAATCAAGACAGCGGCACGATCATGGGGAGCGCAGCAGAGTTTGTCGGGGACTTGTCAGTCGTCACGCCGAGGATCAGCGCCTGCGGCACCTCCTGCACCTCAGCGGGGAAAACCACAACCCCTTCATGCCAGGCACCAAAGGTATGAGGACGTGGGCCTGCGCTGCCTGCCTTGCTGATACAACAAGCGTCTGAGCGTAACTTATATCACTGTCCTTTGCCAGCGGGCCCCTCATGCTTTCAGGTTCTGCCTTCCGCGGTGAACTGAAGTTCTTCGGCGAGTGTGGAGCAAAGGGGTAATGACATGTGGGAGAAGTTCATTACTAGATTCTGATGAACCTTAGCAGGTAATGACGAGGGGGAGCCTCAGCTAGATTCATGGGCCTCTTGCGCCTGACAAAGCAGGGTTGTGTGCACGGAGCCAGGGCACCGGAGGGCCAAGTGTGACCAAACATCGAGACAAAGAGCCGGGTGAGAATTGCAACGCGTCTCAAACATTCATATTTCTGGAGCATCAGCGAACCCAATCCAAATTTGGAGTTTGCCGCACGCCTGTGCCTGAAATGACCAGAGTTTGGAAACGCCAGCTGAGGTGTTAGGGGCACATGTCAGGGCCAAACATACAACGTGGAGCTGGAATAGCTTGCCGTGATAAGGGGAAGGTTTTGCCAAGCTGGCCACAGCAACACACCAAACTCAAAGGTCGCGAAATCCTACACGCGTGTAGCTTCCAGGGTTGACCCAAGCCAGTCGCACAGCTCAGGCGCACTCTCGCTTTTTTGGGTGAACGCGGGAGGCGCAACGGTTGGTGTCACCCTGCAAAACAACGTGCACGCTCACTGTGAAACAACTATGTTGAGGACGACCTGTGGGAAAACGTGCAATGTCCAGATTGTCTGACAACCTAAGCACGTGGAGCGTATCTGCAACGCAGCTACCTTACTGTATGTTTTTCTTTCTTTGTTTCGTTCTTTCTTTCTTTTTTTCTTTGTTTCTTTGTTTCTTTCTTTCTTTCTTTCTGTCTTTCTTTCGCTTCTCTCTCTGTCGCTCTCTCTCTCTCTCTCTCTCTCTCTGGCTCTCTGGCTCTCTTGCTCTCTCTCTCTCTCTCTCTCTCTCTCTCTCTCTCTCCCCCTCTCTCACTCTACCAGTCTCCGTTTCTCTCTGCTATCTCTGTCGTATCTATTTTGCTCCATCTTTCATTCAGTTTCTTGTGTGTTCATTTTATTGTTTTCAATTCAAGTTGGCAGCTAGCATGTGTCAAGTTGCGACTATCACTTCTCTTGAACATTGAAGGGCCAACCCACGGGCCACTTTGTCACCCAGTATGTAGAGCGCACACTGCAACGCATGGGTGAAAACATGTTGCGTTCTGTGTGGGCTGGAGCAGTTGGAAACGGAAGCCAAGGCGCTACACGTTGACTCATGCCAGACTCTCTGCAAGGCAGGGGCCTGTCAACGCGGTTCAATGGCCAGCCTTGCCAACTTTGCAGGCGCTTGGCTCTGAGGGCTGGCACGGCTTTCACTGTGCTCCCTGGAAGTCTTGCAGCATCTTTGCAGCCTTTGCATCTTGTGAAGCCCTTGACAGATTGTTGTGGCCCATGCGCTCCAAGGGGTCGAGGCAGCTCAGCCTGGCTTGGCATGGTCTGAGTCTGTAGCATTGAAAAACACGCTCTTCAGCCTGAAGCCCTGGTAGCTGGCGAGTCACGGCTGCCGAGCAACCTGTTTGCCACGTAGGCGAGGTCGGTCTATCCACGGCTACAGGCTGCAACAGCGCAGTAATAACGGCTGGCGCTGATTAAGTATGCTAGAACGCTATCCAAGTCAAACAACCAGCCCAACGTGAAGTCTTGAAACATCCCAATACCACCGTGACGTAGATGATTGGAGTTTAATTTGAATCGGTCAGATGCAACATCCGTGCATACATGGCAGTACGCGCCATTCATCTCAAAAGGCTGGGGCGGCTTGATGGTGCATAACATGACGCCTACATCATTCCACAGCAGGCGCCTCCTGTCATACACCAGCGTCGCCAGAAAAAAACACCATTGCAAAGGTGTTGATGCGCAATGGCACATTGGCCAGCTCTGCAAGGCATTCCCCTGGCTGAGTGGCACCAAGATGCATGCGTCCTGGCCCCCCTTGAAGCAGCTCTTTGCGAGGGGGATTCCGGGTTCCTTGCCCGAAAAATCAAAGCTAAAAGCGTCTCACACGCTGTGGCGTGATACGCGTGAGCCCATCCAAGCTGACATCGGGTGGCATGAACACGTCCAGGTCCTCCATCCACCAAACCAGATTTCCTTCTTTGGCCTCCCCGTAGTGCGTTCGAGTAAAAGCGATGTGGCGGGCTTCCCCATGGCGGGGTTGTAGGTCAAGATTCCCGGATATGTTGCCGAGCATGACTCCCACTGCCATGCCATGCAGCGGAGCCGGGTAGGGCGCACTGCGAGCAGCCTGCACGATGGCCTTCAGCTTTGGACGCTGCGGAGGGTGGGCTTCAGATTCGGTCTCCACGGGCTCCGGAGCCGGCACGGGTCTGGCCCTGCCGTCGTGCACCGAGACGTCGCCTCGCACGTTGAAAGAAGCCATCTTGAGAAAGAAACAGGTGGAAGCGGATTGCACTGATGACTTGAGGCGACTGGATCACAACATGTCTTTTTTGCTGTTGCCATATTCTGAAAACGCTAAAAAAACACTCTAGGATTCAAGATTCGAGAAATCCTGCAAAAAAATCAAGCAATCACAACATGCCATTCACATTGCATCAATCTGTGTGTAAGTATGGATTGCCCAAAGGATCTTGTAGGCCGGCGATATACAAATATATGGCTATGTATGCTACTGTGGTTCTCCCCGTTCCCCAAGATCCAGATTTGATAGTTTTACTATGCAGCTCTAAAACCTCAAAAATAAGGTTTTTTTGGTACCATATATATATATATATATGTAGAATGCATCTACGTATCTGTGTAGATGTTTCTGGGTTTGACGCACCATGTAGGACCTGACAGTTTCTCCAGAGTTTCTCTTCAAACCTCGAAGGAGAATACTCTCGTCTCAATCAGAGACATACTCATATCTGTTTTTAGTCACCAATGAAACGCACCATGCATCCATACACTACCCCGGTTTTCCTATGGAAAGGGCTCATAACGCTTCGTAATCACAGCATTCATCATAAGCTGTGTCTCCCATGCCTTTTGTCAAGGACTCTCCTTGACCCTCAAGGATGCCGAGGATGAAAAGAAGACAACGTACAGACTAACTCGGGCTGGGACACCATGCGCTGCAGGCAGTCAAGTTGTCAAATCACGTGTTGTCCGCATCCCTGTTGGATCTAACATAGGAAACCCTGCACTGAACAGGGCTCCCGTACTGCCTTTTTCAACATCACCCCATGCAACCGAAACCTGAAACATCTACAAACTTGAGTTTCAAGGGCTTACAGATGCGCCCGCCTGGGCTCCCCTTATATGTATGTGTTGGGCTAAAATAGGGCTGGGTGTATGGGCATCCCTCTAAATTACCTACTCCGGGCGTCAGCACGCAAGGAGCCCCGTAGAAAAAAAAAGAGAAAAAGATGGCGTTTCAAACAATGCAAAAGGGGCCCTACGTAGAACGGGGCTCTTGCTGCAATATTCCTATGATGGCCTTCCTTTTGGCTTCCCCTTTCCCGCGTATCTCAAAAACACACACTCAAAAGGCTCACTAAGCCACGCTCAGCCACGCTCGCCGCGGATTTTGCACTAGAAAGCCCCTTCCATCAGCGTTCGTCGATGGAGTCTCTTGGCAGCACCTGGAAACCGAAATGGACACACCCATCTTTCGGCCCCGGGAATGGCATCCCATAAAGTGGTGTGAAACAAATCAAACCACTCAAACATGTACCCCCAACAAACAGATCCACTTTGGCCAGTTTGCGAGTCTGTGATTGTAACTCCGATTTCAGGATTCAATCCTGGAGGTCCCACAAACCATCAAAAGTCCTTAACCAAGTTTGGGCGTGGTTGGCTTTATCTGGCAGGTGTCGTGTGGAGGACATCGTTGCAGGGCCGTCACAACCTGCCTCAGGCATCCTCGTCAACCAGCTCCTCGTGAGTTGCCGGCCGGTGCAAGGTGGATGCGTGGGTGTGGCTATGTGTGGATGTCGGTCTCAATCCGTGCTGGTTCGTCTGCGTGTCCGCCCTTGTATATATATATATATATATATGTATATCGTGAATATATATATATATATGCATATATATATATATGTTTCATACCAATAACTAAATAACTAAATAAATAAATCAAACATAAATAAACACATATATATATATATGTACATGTCTGTGTGTCTATGGGTCTGCGAAATTATGTATTTGCGTTCCTGCGCGTTTGCGTGTTCGCGGGCGCGTTGGCGGGTGTGTGTGTGTGTGTGTGTTTCGTGTTTGTGTGTGTGTGTGTGCCTGCGTGTCTCTGTGTGTCTCTGTGTGCCTGTGTGTGTCTGTGTGTGTGTGTCTGTGTGTCTCTGTGTGTGTGTGTGTGTGTGTGTCTGTGTCCCCGCGTGTCTGTGTCTGTGTCTGTGTCTGTGTCTGTGTTTGCGCGCGCTTTCACGTGTAAGCTAGCTTGTTTTTGCTGGTGTGTGCTTGTTTCTGTTTGTTGCGTATGCCTGTGCGTGTTGGAATGTCGATATGTTTTGCTTGTCTGCGTGTGCGCTCGTGTTTTTGTGGTTGTGTGCCTGCCTGTGCTGTACAAACTAGAATAGTTCGGGGATATGCCTGCAACGGTTGACTGGTTGTAACATGAAAAAGGTCGCGATTACGCCACGCATGGGTTTTCCCCTGTCACTGATATCCCAAAGGACCTTTGTGGAATCCGAAAGGCACCCTTTTCCATACAAGCATCTCTCTGAGCGTGCCGACCCTTCAGGGGCACCTGTTCGAACATGTGCTCAATGAACTTGGCAAATGCGCCTGCTCTTGGTTTGTCTCGCCTTCTGTGCTAGAGAATGTTTCAACTTTGATCACGTTGATTGACATCTCCTTCCCTCGAAAGAAGATCACTTTCACTGGTTGCGGAACATCATCTTTTCTGTGATCGTCCCCATGACTATGTTATCCTTCTCCAAAGGCTATTCCCTGGGTGTCATAGAGAGCGGCCTTCAAAAAAACAACAACTTTCCCTGACCCGGCACAGCTTCAAGCGACTCATGCGAAAGCAAGACTTCAAGCTGCGAGTGTGCCATGTCACTTCCGTCCTGGAGCCAATGGCCCATCTTGCGGGACCCGTGCTTCCTAGCGCGTCGGGTCAGAAGTCCATGCTAACTTTTTGGGGGATCCCAAGTGAGTCATAATGAAAACCCGGTATAAAAGAATGGCCTACCCAGAACCATACTAACTATTTCTGGCTGGGACTTACTAACCTTCATCTACCCAGGTTTTGATTGTGGCTCAAGTGTTCAAAGCAAAACCGACAGGAATCGGCTCGCCTTCCAGGAAAGCCTTGGGCTGGATACATGGAGTCCCTCCCCGGTTTCTTCGCTGATGCTTCCCCTTTCATGGAAAGCAGCCTCAACGGCCCACCGAGTAGGGCTTTTCAGTGGTACCGAAAACACCGAAGGGGAGACAGGGGTTGCCCTCCCATGTGCTACTGAGCGTTTCCAAGGGTTTGAGCCTCAAACTGGCCGGGTTCCTTGTTTAACATCCCAAAAGATCCCCCATCTTTGCGACACCCCGTCTAGTTTGCTTTTGGTTGTCTTGCAATCGAAAATAACAACACACACACACAGTTGGGTGATGCCACATGAGATTCCCATGCAAGAAAGCTACCCTGTGTTAGAAGCCTGTGGACTTTGCAACTTGCAACTCGCTTGCGCGGCCAGGGGACAGTTTGAAAGGGACGCCCCACGACAAGGAACGACCCATCACGGGCTACCAACGCCAGTTCTTGGAGGAATTTCTCAACTTCTTGTTCCTTGAGCGCGCTCTGCGCGGAATCTTGCGCCGTGCCCATTTCAGCGCCCAAAACCAGAGGGTAGTATAGACCCCTCATTGGCCAGGGTTTTGGATGCAGCTTTGGCTCCAAACCAGGGATCCCTGGTTTGTGGCCAACTACGGGGTCCCCTAGTGCCTTCTAACTTTGCCGCAGCCCTGGAAAGGCGAGTGTCTCCAAAAACAGGGGGATTTTCCGGTTTGGAATGGTTTCCTCTCGGATATCCAGAACGCCACACGAAACCAAAGCAACCCCGACGAGTCCCAGCCTGCGATGGAAGCCGTGGCCCAGTTCCAGCATGGCCTCAGGCTCAAACACTGACCTTCGACTCGCGTGCTCAGTATGATCATCTTCCATTTGCTTTGGCCCCCTGGACAAAACAAACATGTCCACTAGTGATCGATTCCTTTTACAACCAACAGGGGCAAATACACAATATTCTTGAACAAATGGAAGTAAACACAGATGTGTTTCTCTCGCTGGTGCGATAAGTGGGGAATGAACCCAGGGGTCCCCTTAAAGGAAACCACAAGGGATTGTTTATAAAGGGCATTCCTTCATTCCCTGCTGAGCACCAGCAAGCTATTAAACGCAAAGAACACAAGCAAACAACAACGATCCATCCTTCTTCGGTTTGTTTTGGGGAAAACTGCAACATTTGGTCGAGTCGATTTGGCACCCAAGCATGGACAATCCCCTGTGTCGATAGTCTGCTCCGCACATCCGCACATGCCAGTACGCATTGAATGTTTCACGACGAATACACGTTGCTCACGCGATGGCGATGTCGCTCCTAAAACACCCATAAACATGGCCTTGTCATTGTGGCATGGCGGCATTCCCTTCTGGTTCTCCCCAAAACAGGAGACGATCAGTTTTAAGGGTATATTCAACAACGCAGCCATGGATCCTTCTTTGTGTTTTGATGCTTGTGAAAAGGACACCTGCTCAGGGTCCAGGCCCAGGTTCCCCACACCAACCAAGCTTGCTTTGGGTGTCTGAGGGCCCAACTCCCAGATTTCTCCAAGCCGCTGCAAGGCAACCCACAGGGCTCATCATTTGGAGGGGTGCCTTTTTCTAGTTCTCTTAGTGGTTGCTTGATCCCTCGCTATTAAGAGGGGGATACGTGATTCATCCCTGTCAGCTCTAGAATTTCCACGGCAATAGCAGGATACTCTTCCCTGGACTCACCATCTGTTCCACTAGAAACCAGATGTCAACGGGAATCCTAGTGACCTAGTGCTTGACCCCGAGCAAGACGGCTTCCAGGCCCCGGCGGCTGGCGCGTCCAAGGACTCTGCCGCGTCAATCCTTCATGCGCGGCAACCGAATGCTTGGGAAAGAAGGGCTCGCTCCAGCGGTTTCGCGGAATATATGGAAACCCCCGGGAAATTTCCTCCCCCACCCCTCAACGGCAGGGAAAGGCCGTTTTTTTTTCACGCCAACCCTTCCAGACGGTTTTTTTTTATCAGCCCAGAGGGTTCAAAGTGCAAAAATGGGCTGTCCCAACTTTGGAGCCTGCAGCTCTAGCAGTATCGGAGGTGCGGGGGGGGGGGACTCTTTTGGGAGAAATATATCCCTTGGATTCCCTTGGGGGTCCCGGGTCCCTGCAAAAAGAATCATGTTTGGGGTTCGAGGTCAAAAAGTGACATTGCCCTATTTGGACTACCAAAGGGTCCCTGACAAAAGGTCGGACAGGGGACGTTGCCGTGTCTGATGCAACATCCAAAAAAACAGTATGTCCGACACCTGGATCCCAAAAACTGCGGCTTTCGCTCGCATTACCACCCAGCTCGCTCGCATATAGGCAGATGGGTGTATCAAATAGGGGGACCCCCAAAATGGCGGTTCCGCTTTTGATTCGCCTTTAAAAGGGTAACAACTTGCCGGTGCCAGGGAATGAGGGAATGAACCTGCAAATTCCAGAATAAAAGAAGCCATTAGTTGGATCCGGTTATCCTCGGGGTCATGCAATTTCTCATTCCCTGCCTGTCGCAAGGGTAGGTGGCCTTCTGGAAACATAGATGGCCCTGGTAAATGGAATAAACTCCATCTACACCAGTGCCATCGATTTTTAACCAAACTCACCTAAAAAGGGTAGCCGATGGTAGCCAGATCTGCGCCTGATCTGCTCCAGCTGCATCTCACTCTTCTGGCGCCGGCGGAAACGTTCTAGCTCGTCGTCCTGGCGCCTGTGCGGGGAAAGGGGTCTGGCTGAACAACGCGGACCCCCCCCCCCGCCCCGCCCCAAAGCTGAACACAGCGGAGACCGCTCCCTCCAAGTACTTAAGCACGCACACCAAACATGTTTATTCACATGGATGCTTTCCTTTGGCTTGCCAGAAAAGACAGCCTCAAAGACACACCCTCAAGCGAACCTTCCACGATGTTTCTGTTGCGTTCGGGCACTCTTTGATAACGAAAAGAAGGCAAGCAGTCGGTGTTTTGGGGGAAAGGTTGGCATGGAAACACCGTGGCAGAGTTCATACGGAAAACCGAACACGCACCAACAAAGAAACCCTTTTTTTGCAGGATGCCAGCCCCTAGGAACCGTTGCCCCGGACTTGTGAAATTCGCGACGAACCAGCTCCGCTCCATGGGCCCCTTTCAGATAGCCAAAGTCTCACTGCTAGGCACCATTCACTTCCTGTTGGACACGTTGGACCCACAAATACCACACTGTTAGTTGCCCAACGGACCTGAAAATAACAGCGTCACCTTTTGGTACCTTGACATGATAAAAACTGGAAACCCAAAGGTGAAAAGGCCGATTGGCTTTGGGCGCAGCCCAACAGGGGATGCGTGGGTCGGCTGAACAAAAACGACGCTTTCGGTGAGCGGATGCTTTTAACATGGGCAACGGTGGAGTTGCGAATCTTTCGGACTGCCTGCAAAGCAACACTTAGACCACTTATGTGTCTCTGGAAAAAAGTGTAACCTCTTCTGACCCCAAGAGCCCGCGGAGAAAAGATAAATCCATCAGTTCGAGTCAAGGCTCCCAAAGCCATCCCCAAATTCCTCTAAACCCAAAGGATTCGGAGTCTCATACTTCCATGAGCATCCCGCGTCCTTGTCCCGACCCCATTTGGGCCCCTGATCACTGATCACCCTTCAGCCAAATGAATGGCAAAACAGCAGACGCCTGTCTGAAATTTCCGTCGATTCCCTTTGGGAAGGCCTCTGCAGGTCTCGGCGCAACTCCTCCAGCTGCTGGTCTTGCCGCAACTGCCAAGGAAGCTTCGAGCGCGCTCTTCGGGGGGGCTGGTAGGAAACGGGGGCCTACAGACTCAGGTGAGCGCGTGTGTTTTTTTCCTTCTTTTGTTGTTGTTCTTTTTCGGGTGAGCACAGTTCGGGTCAGCGGACAGGGGCAGTGCAGGGGTGCGGCAATCGCCTTTCGCGTGTCACTGGAAGTGTGCACAGATCTTGTTTGCTGTTGAGCCCCCTGCACCAAGTTTATTGTTTTGGGTTTAGTGGAAACCCCCTTGAGTTCCAAAAAAGTTGAAGTCTAAAGATCCAACCCACTAGCAATCAAGATATCAAACACCAAATCGACACCAAGCCACAAGTTGGCGTATGGGTTTCCCTCGCCCGAAAAGCGCGCGCCTGAAGCTCGAGCATGGCCTCGTGCTCGTGCTGCAGTCTCTGCATCCGTTGCGCGCGAGACGCCTGACACGCGGAGGTGTCTCGCGTTTGGAGGGTCCACTCGGGGGAAAGCCCGGGATAGGCCAACTAGGAGGAAGAAGTTAGGTTTTTCTACAGAAACCAGTGCCAGGACCCCCAATGCTTGTCAATTGTCCCCGAAGGGGATCACTTATACCTACAAAATCCGTGCGGACATAATTTCCGCCGTTTTGCAAACGGCGGAAATTTCCGCCGGAGGGGGGGCAAAAACGCCGTCGCTTTAAAAAAACGCCGTCACTCAGAAAAAAACGCCGCAGGGGTACAAGAGCCCACGGGTCCTGGTTCAGCTTCCACTTCGCTTGGATGGCTCGCTTGCTCAAGGAGAAAATGCAGAATGAACTCGCTAAACAATATCACTGTTAGTCTGTTACAACGTTTCCCCAATGCCAAACTCAGGGCCAAAGCACTCCAAAGCTGTAACTACACCAAAGTCGTGGCAACCTTCTGTCATTTTAGGGTGAGACGAGTCGAGTGGTGGGATCACACCAAATTCCGTGGTAGCAGCGGCAGCTCCTTTTGTAGCCGATGTGGCCGGCGGACAGTCTCTGAGGCTGGCAGGGCACGGGAGGGCCTGTGTTTCGAACTTCCTGTTGTCCACCCAAAAAGAAAGAGCGCCGCAAATTGCTCAAGGTCGCTTTGCCTTTCGTGGCGGGCAGTGTCTGCCCAACATCGCCTTTTTCTTCAGAAAGTATCGAAGCAAAACCTTGCGGGTGACAGTCCGGGTAGATAGCCTTCTCGATAGTCTGCACAGCCTGCCGACAACATCCTCGTTTTGTTCACAAGCCCAGGAGCAAGGATTGAGTATCAGCACAGCCCCTTTCTCAAGGTCCAACTTCAATGAGTAAGCAACATGATGAAGCGCGTGAAACTTGGGCTTGAGACCGAAGGCACTCATGTTCAAATTTAGGCAGTAGGCTGCCAGTGATGCGTACCCTCGCAAAAGGAGCATGATGCGGGCGTAAAGAACTTTGGCGCAGCAAGGGTCAATCCAAAGCCCGTGCGAGTGCACTATCTGGAACACACCAAGTCCTGCGTCGATTGTAGTAGCAAGCTGCTGCAAAAACACCTTGTGGGCTGTAGCGCAGGGCAAGGTTGGCATGGCGAGGTGCAAGCCAGCCAGCCACCGCACAAACCTCAAAAGGTACATTGTGTCGCTTCCTTTCGAGTTCGCCCATGGACTGCTCGCGCGTGTTTTTGCATTGAAAAAGGCAGTGCTAAAGGAACTGAGTCCAGGTGCGATCTGTTCGGCTTTGGCCCACAAAGAAAAATGATTGTAAGCTCGAACCAACCTGCAATCAATTTTGTTGGATGCCCCTCCTTCGTCCCAAAAGCCCATTCGAGCAAGCACTACGACCGCTGATCCGCATAGGTCGCGCCCGAGACCCACCTTAAATAGGTGAAATAAGTCGAGCCGAAACAACTGCTCGTCGAAGCCGCAGGTGTCGAACGACATCAAGCACAAGGGTGGTTCCACTGACCATGGCCTGCTCAAATGCATCGTGCGGGCCCAAGCAGGAGCAAAGCTTGTGTCCTCAAACGGCACCCCCTCAGCGCCGGCGTGGCATAGACTGCACATCAGTTCACCTTGTGATTTGCCAACGGTGTGATAGGATCTGCTGAGGTTTCCGCATTCCATGTGGTGTTTGAGATCGCCCTTAGAAGCGAGACACGCTCCATAAAAAGTTTGACCTCCAACACTGACACCGTTCTGGAAAAGGTCTTCCATGTCCCGGGCAACCAGGGTAAGCATTTGCTGCACCACATGTTTTTCCTTTTTGTAGAGCCAGTGGGGAATGCCAAATAGCAAATGCCTTGTGCAATGAGAGGACCCCTTGTAGTTGGTCATTTGTTTGCTGGCCCGGTCCATACTTGCACGGTCGCACAGCATTGTGGCCCTGCAATCAACCACATCGGTGGCTGGAAGCTTGCTTAATGAGGTAGAGCAATCGCACTGACGGTGGTTGTTCGGCAAATCATGTAATCCGATGACCGACTCGATGGTCCACACAAGGAAGTTGCCGCGCTTCGGGCCTCGCCCCTCATCGCCGTAGACGGCAAGGGGCAAGGTCCGACTCCACAATGACTCAGACCTGGTGTAAACAGCGTGGCCAGCATGGTGCTGCCGGTACAAAGACCAGAAGGAGTGCAGTTGGGACGAAACGTCCGGGTGATTGCCGGTCAAGCAGCTCGGATTTCTTCCCAGCAAAACGCCAATCCAATCGCGCGGACGAACCCAATGTGTAACCACAACGTCTCCCTCTGAAGGAGTGTATCGGGCCTCTTGTACGGGCACTGGTAGTGATAAGCCGGCTCTTATAAATCGTCGGTGCATGTCTCTGTCAGCATTCATGGATGCTGCCGTGCGAGCAGTTTCATCAACAGTCAAAGACTTTTGCCCGTGCTCAGGCTTGGCAGCCTTCAAGGACCGCTTCGTGTCGACAGCCGTGGCCTTGGCAAGACCAAACAAAGCTCAACACATGCAATTTTGGAGGTGTCCCTGGGGTCGTTCAAAAACATCCCAAACCACATTGCCAGGCCACCCCCTCAAAATGGCACACGGCAGTGGATTGAATCAGAATCGCGGGAGCGGACTAAAGTGGGAGAGCCAACTGCCGTTTGCAATGAGTCCGAATTTTCAACTCAGTTGGTTGGACCCCCTAGCCAACTTTGACTGTTGGGGTCCCGAGCCCCATCACCAAAAACCTCTGCCAAGTGCTGCTCCAAATAGTTCTCGTCATCCGAACCTGGCATTGGGACGCTCAAGACGGGGCATGTTAATGTAGAACAAGAAGGGGGCAGGGAAATGCCACAAAGAGTTTGTTGAGCTCACGCAAAGCATTCTTTTATCCACAGCGCAAGCCAATCAGCAGACTAGGTTGCTGCTAAAGCGCACTGGTAGCACCCTGATTTGATGCAGTTTGCCAACTAGCAGGAAATGACGTCAAGCGATGGGACTCTTTCGGGATCTTTTGAGCTACATTGTTCAAGACCCTTGCTGGTTGGAAGAAACTGACCCCCGGCAGGCAAAGCCTAAAACCTCACGTCTCATTAAAGACAGGCACCCCCTATCCCCTGCGTTTTCGCGCAGACGTTGGGGTTTCCTGGACTGCAGCACGCTTCTTGCTGCTAGGTTCGACCTTCGCCTTTGCCTTGGAGGCAGGCTTGGGTGCGGGAGCTGACTTCGGGGCAGCTTTGCTGCCCGCCTTGGCCTTTGGAGCCCCAACCTTCTTGGCCGATGTGTTGATCAACCTAGGAGTTGTCGCAAGGCTAAGGGGTAGGAAGCAAACTCACTGTTCATGACGCTGAACTAAGAAGGACACTTGGCCCGCCCGTCCAGACAGCAGGTATCGATGGCCCTGACGGAAGGCACTTTGCCCAAACCGTTTCCAACCAAGAGCCTTGTGGCTCTACCCCAGAAAAAAGAAAGAAATCAGCTTGGTGCCCGGCAGCTTCTTGGCCTCCTCAAAGTGAACGCGGAGAGCTTTTTGCTTCCTTGGCGCAAAAAAGGCAAGGTCTTCGAAGGAAGCCCTCGTTTGGCCTGAAGATTTTTGAGAACACTCCCCAAGACGAAGGGTCTGTTTGTCGAACCCGTTGAGCAAACCATCCCGGTAGATGCGCATCATGTCATCATCACGCTTGTTGAGGCTGCACTGCAGCTGCTTCATGTCTTCCAGAAGCCTTGGGACCCAAACACAGTTGTGAGGTAGATGAAACACATCCCCTATTATGAAGACATGTTTTCCCCAAGCAGGAGTCAGTCAACAAAAAAGTCACGAATCCTAAACCATTTTGTGGAAATACCAGAATGTCCCAAAACGTCCAAACCCAGTCATGTTAGGGCCCCCCAAGTGCAAACCAAGACCAACAAAGCAAAATAAGGGCAGTGCCATTTCAAAGTTAAAAGCACTGGAAACTGATGGTTGTTTCTTTGGATGAGCCTCCCACATGTCCATCGCACCCAAAACTTGACTCCCGAAACCTGGGGCCACCTAATACTACCAGGGCTCCGTTTTGGACACGCCGTTTTTTTCGGTTTCGGGGAAAGGGTTAGTTGCGCAACAAAGCAGGAACGGACAATTTGTTGCCACAACGAACCCAGTGGCTTGTTCTGGATCTCATTCTTCCCTGGCACAGCTTCAATCTTTGTGATGGATTCCATGAGTTTCTTAACTCGTTTCTGGATGGCTGCTGAAACCTTGCCAACGAGGGAGGCGGGCTGGGGCTCCTTCTCAACTTCAGGGAAGTTCAGCTTTTTCAGCACCTCGTTGGTGTGCTCGCCGTTGTCGGAGGACACATCGTCATCTTCTTGCTCTGGTTCCTCAGCATCACCTTCACCTGGGCCGGAGGAGCGCCCAAGACTGTTTGTTGAAGGAACGCCAAAAATTAGCTACCGACATGTGAAAGACCAATCTGTTCTGACCGTTTCAGGAAAGGTGCTATTGTCCTCGCTGTCATCCACTGGGGCAAACGAAGGATCCACCCCCCGGGTTTTCACATCGACTGTCTTTTTGACACCGCCTTTTAGCTCCTGGTCCTCCATCTCTTGGATAATGCTGCGGCGAGTTCGCCTTAACAACCAGGGCTGATGAGTCATGCCTTTCTTTCAGAACGAATTTGACATGCAACTTGAGACCCAAGCTGCGATGCGTTGCCCCATTAATTTGCTTGATGTGTTCCAGGCCACCCCTTCAAGACGGCCCTGAGTTCAATACTAATTCTGCCGAGAATCTTCTTGGAGCCCTTCTGGCTGATCAAAACCCAGTAAAGATTGCCCTCTCCATAATCCGACTTCCTGGCATGAGTGAGAATGCACGGCTCACGCAATTACTGTTTGACACCTGCAGTGAAAGCTCTTTTCAAGAGTAGAGTGCGTAGGGAACGGACTTCAAGAATATATTTGGAGACACCAGCCGATGGGGAACGACCGTGCGAAGCGGATTTCTCGCAAGGCCTCGTGAAGTTCGGCTTGCCCTGGCAGAACTTCT